TTCTTTTTGGATTAGGTGGGTAATCTTCTTTCTTTGGAATCCATTGGCTGCAAGTACGTTGGTGAGAGTGTGTAGTTCGGTTTTTTGGTGTTGTTCATCGGCTAAGCATTTTGTTCTGGAGATGAGTGTCTTGGCTACGGAATTGATCTGTGCTGGGTGGTGGTGTGAGAGTGCATGTAGATAGCGGTTAGTATGTGTTTTCTTCTGGTAGATGGTGTGTCCTAGGGAGCCATTGGATCTTTTGTATACCAAGACATCTAGGAAGGGAAGTTGACTGTTGGCTTCTGTTTCCATGGTGAATTGTATTTTGGGGTGTAGGCTGTTGAGGTATGTGAGGAAGTTGTTCAGTTTTTCTTTCCCGTGTGGCCAGATTATGAAGGTATATATATATATACACACACACACACACACACACACACACACACACACATACATAATGTTGGTCTAGGTGTGTTCAGGTCTTTTCCCATGTAAGATTAAGAGTACGTTGGCGACGTTTCGGTGAGGTCCCACTCACCATCCTCAGGCTAGTGCTTTTGGCTTCGTGCCAGTGCAAGCAGTGTGTGATCAGAGCTGCCGTCTCTCTATTAATACTGGTGGGGGGGGGCTGGTGTGCTGGGCTGGTTGGCTGCGCTGCTGCCTTTTGATTGGTTGATGGAGTTGATGTTGGTATAAAGGGCTGTATGATGGCCTTGTGAGTTTTGTTGTGGAGATATCCTGGATCTTGTGCTGTAATCTCCTGGGTCATTTGTTTTGTAGTGATCTTTTTTCCATTACCAAGAGAATAATCAGGGAAGCCATTGAGATAGAGAAACACCCCCATAACATGAATAGACGGGAGGACACCTCCCACCTACCAGACATCTGGAAGCTAGCCCTCACCAACAAATGAGTCCCAGCCATGAAAACCAACACCAGACCCAAAACAACAAGGGACACCACCGCCAATCCCCCTCATCAGATCCAGGCCCAAGCCCATCCTATAAACGAAGGGCAACACCATCCAGAAACCAGACCATGGCTGTTTCTCCAGCTGTCACACACCCCCGACCCCAAAACCAAACAAGCTGACACATGCCAAGAACACAGACCCAGACCCCAAACTCAAAGCCAGACTAAAACCCAGAATGCTATATCACGGCCACCTGCTCAGGATATCACATCAGAAAACTCAGAAAATTACACCGCAAGAACTCAAGAAGTTCCAACACAGTAAATTACCCAGGATATCACAGCACAAGATCAAGGATACCACAGCAATAAATCTCACAAGGTCATCACACAACCCATTACCCAAGCTGTTACAACATAGGAGGTTAATGGAAGAGATCAAAACACAAATGACCCAGGAGATTACAATGCAGGACCCAGGACACCACAACCAAAGAACTCACAAGCCCATCACACAACCCATTACCCAAGCCATTAAAACACGGGAGGCTAATGGAAAAAACGACCCAGGAGATCGCACAAGGTCCAGGAAAATACCCGAACAAAACTGAATACTATCTATCTATCTATCTATCTATCTATCTATCTATCTATCTATCTATCTATCTATCTAT